ATATGTGGCATCATTATTTCACAAAATGACAGTAGTTATTGTCAAATCTGGAATCTAATTAAAATTCTGACTATAGAATGTGCTAAGTGAAAAAGAAAATCACTAGGATCAATTCCTTCAAGCTTGTCCTCCACCTTAAGTAAAGAATCAATTAAATTAAAACCAAATTAATTACATCTAATAGATCATGTCCAAAAATTCTCCGAACATTTTCGCAATAAATCTTCGGCAATCTCCGGAATTATTCCGTATTCCCTAATTCCTGGTCGTCCTAAAAATCTTTCCCGGCGTAGTTTCGTTAATCCCCAATTATTCAGACTTGTCTTGCTCATTAATTTTGGAACGTTTTCCCTGATTTGTTAAAGTACTTCTTATTTCTAAAAGTTTTTCTTCAACTGTCCTGAATTTGTAATGTCGTTGACTCGTGTACAATGTTTATTTTGGTCACTAACGAAACTCGGATGAATTGGACCAAATAGTTTTAATACAAGAAAGTAATAGATCCAGAAGACTGATTAATTGCGATTTACAAATAGTGGAGTGGAGTTAAGGAAATATTGATAGATAATTTTCGTGTAATATGATATGTTAATCTAAATTATTGACTTAATCCTTAAAATCTTCTTATATACTAAAATCATGCCTTTTATTCCCGAAGGGGTAGGCACTTAATGCCACTGTATGTAACACCCACTTTTCACTATTTATGTTGTGAGTGCCATGTAATAGAGGGAGACCCTATTGCTATATACCGGGCACAGTTCCATACTCCGTGCTACATTTTTTGAAAAAGCCCAGTAATACTTTGCCCGACCCGGAAATCGAAGCCGACCCCTTGCCCAGGGTCGCAATTGCGACCACTCGGCCAACGAGGCAGTCAAGGCTTAAAATCTTCTTCTTCTTCTTCTCATAAGTGCAATATCCAACATCAATTTGTCCTACAAAAAGGTGATACGATAAACTGTAACACCCAAGTCCTATTTACTTAGGTACTTAAAGATAATATGTTGTTCAGAAACCATTTAGACAGAAATAGGTTATTGTACGTCTTGACATTGTTTTATCTTTATTAAATGACCTTTAAGATCCATAATTTCATGTCGGTAAGGCCCAGACACTTTGAAGCCAGACCCAAAAAGATTAGCCCAATTTACCCTTGTCTTGTCACTTTATGAGGTATCAATAATCGATAGTGTGACATAATAATCTGAATTTAATGTTCGTACTTATGACATTATTACAATGTTATTGTTAAGGGGACGACAGTTAGGCTTATCCCTTCCCAAATTAGACTTTGAAATAGCTTGGAGAGTTTTAATATTTATGATGCTCGTGTCTATATTTTATAATGGCATTCTGGTCCCGTTTGTTGAAATTATTTAAGTTTTTAACCTTTCGTGGGTTTAAACGTGATCCTTGTGAGACACAGTGTATATTTCACTGTCTCACATTCGAGCGGTTAATAGTACATTGCTTTGGATAATGTTAAGTGTACTTACCGGAGGCCCAATTACCCTCCCCTTCCCCAATCTCCCCAATTCTGGTGATCAGGAGTTTGAGGATGCCCAACGATCCTCAAACTCCTGATCCCCAAAAGGCTGGTAACGCACTTGTAACGCCTCTGGTGTTCCAGGTGTCCATGGGCGACGCCGATTGCTTACCATCAGGTAATCCGTCTGCTCGTTTACCGGCTTATGCCATAAAAAATACCATGTTCTCCATGGACTGTGTTGATCTCATATAAACCCCAATTATTCTTTACTAACTCGGTGTACTTCTGGGCTGATCCAGATATGTTATGTTAGTATCTATTGTGTGTAATAAGGGGCGAAACTATTACTAAAATGCCAAATGTTTTTCATTAATTTCAAATTCTAAAAGTGACTTGCTTTTCTAGACTCAGTTGCTTAGCAATGGTGCTGAGAAATTTATTATTCCAAACACAAAGCTATAAATACAATGTGCCATACAAAAAACTGTTCCCAAAAGCCATTTGAAAGTAAACAAGAAAGCAGTTCATGGACCTGTTCTCTCAAACAATGACGAATTCTCTTTTAACACTCAATAAAACGAAGAAGGCCAAACATGTTTGTAAAGGGCAAAAACCTCGTGTAAATATTTCCAATAGATTAATCTCTTGTGTCTTTACCACCAAATGTTGTTAGCCAAGCGATTAAAGCTGCGCATTATTCAACACGTCAGACCCCGTAAGGACTACATCCATTACTACAGTCCATTGATCGCGAGTACGTATATTAGGGTTGACAGAAAATTTGTCAGAATTTACAACCACCCTCAATTTTAATTTGTTTATCTAGATTTGAAAACCGTCTTAAACACTATTTTGAAATCACTGAAATTCAGACAATTAGGTTTTCCCAAGCTAACTAGGTACCGGAGCTTCGGGTCAAAGCTGGAGTAGGAACGGGGTGGTTTTTAGTCAGTAAGAGAGTGTCAGAACTGTCTCTCGCCTCACCCAAGGCGTCAAGTGTCATTGGATGATTTCTCTCCCTCAGAACAAAGCTTTTATATTAAAAAGAATAGACATGGTAGTTATTGGCATCACCCTCCCGTCCCCTAAACGCACTTGTGTCTAACTGGTCTTGTGATGCGACTGTCCATAGGTGGCGTTGATCTCATATAAGTAGTACCCCATTATTTCTTTAGTCTTTACTAACCCTAAAAATAATTCTAAAGATAGTATCATTGCAATCTTGCAACAAGAACAATTTAAATTCTATTAAATCATTTCAATAGGACAAATGCAGCTATAACAGCACTATTCACATCTCAGCATTCATATCGGACGTAGCTGTATGCGTTCTCCTTCAGAACTAAATTAGATTTAGATTAAATCTGTATGAGAAATGCTGTCGTATTTATAGTACAAAGAAACGTCCTCGTTTTTGTCTTTTTGGTATTTGTTCTAGAATTAGTAGTGTATCTGGCATTTAATTGTGTACTGTAAGACTCTTGCTTGATTTATAGGCTTAATGTTATATACTGACAAGACTCTTGTTGTCTACATTTCATATGATAGTCGATACTATTGAATGATTTTATGTCGATTAATCTTGTAAGTAAATCTGCAACTACGAATGGCGAATCTACCGCACGGTAATTTATGTCGTGGAGCACTTAACAGGTTACCGGGACTCCGGTTCGATATGCAGGAGTACGAACGGGGTGGTTTTTAGTCAGTAAGAGCCTGACACTCCCTCTTGGCTCACTCAGGTGGAAGAAGTCATTGGATGAGTCTTAAAAGAAAAAAGAAACCATACATACAAAGCAAAAATATACAATTTCCCACTGCTTTTACTCAAAAATATGTCTTTTACGACATTGTACTGTGTCGGAAGTGTGTAGACCCTAACGTTTGAATTGCACATTGACCTGGTTGCCACATTTATGGATGTAATGACACACATTGTAATACATGTAAATAACATGTCCGTACCATTGTTTTACTCCGACAATGATGTACCCGCGCGTTTTATTTTTCATTTTTGATTACTTTTTCTTGCATTAAACGTGGTTTGTGTTACAAATGTCTCGGTGATTTCATGCTCGGATTGGACAAGGGTGAACTGTGTATCTTTTTATTCGATAATTCACTATTAATAATTACAAACAGTCAATAAAGCTATATTGGCTATTCGGTTTCCAACTTCCTTCTCAATAATAACAGAGGTATCAGACATTATGCCCAATATTTGCCAATTGATTAAATTTTCAGTTATTGTATGTACAAATAACGAGAGCCCTATTTGATTAGGATGCCATTACATATTGGTTGGACTACCAATCATATTACAGAAAGACGCCAGAACAAACAGTATATAGGCTTGAATTGACTACTTGATTTTGCTGGTGAAATGACCTCGGCACACCTGTATACATTTTTTCCAGTTGCGCAACCCTGGCCGTACGTTCAAAGGTTGTTTATGTTATATTTCTCAACCTTCCCCTACAATCCACAACAGACATTATACTACGCTGTGTAGATATGCCCTTGAACATCCATACAGCTCTAAGAAACATCCTCATAATTGTTTACTTCTAATTGTTATTTATCTTCTTCGCATAATGAATGAGTCAATTGAAACCGATCCTAACTGATTCGATGCAGATATATTATGGGGCAATGTGTAGTTTAACTCGTCGAGTACCGTCATTATAGACAAAATTATAGAACAATAGGTTGCGGTCACCGGTGACCGCTTGGTGTTTGACAGTTTAATTTAAAATATACAGACTTCGTTTCCGTGTGTTGGAAGGTTTAAACTGTCAAACACCGCGAGGACACCGGTGACCGCAACCTATTGTTCTTTAAACTGTCATACACCAAGCGGTCACCGGTGACCGCAACCTATTGTTCTATAATTGTGTGATAATGACGGTACTCGACGAGTTAATTGTGTCTATAATGACGGTACCTACTCAACGAGTTAATCCCAAGTTTTTCTACAACGAATTATTTATCTCCTTTTACGAAATGTCGATAATTGGGTGTATTTTAATCACAGTTTTCTACTCCTCCACATCCCAGAGTTTGATCGTCATCAGAGTCATCACCTATTGCTGAAGGCCTCCTTTTAAAGAGGTTTGCATTGCACTGCACATATCCCTAAACTTAGTAGACTGTGTACGGCTTAGGTGACGGCAGACATTAAAAATAAGATAGAAAAATAATTCAAATACCATAGTTTTTCATAAAAGAGTTTAATAATGGTAATCAACAAGCCACATTATGTTTTTATAATAACTATAAGTGAGACATACTAAATTAACTAAAACTCGGATACACTAAGAAAAGCTCTACTACTTTTGAACCACAGAGGGGTTCTTCCCCATCAGCGGCGTTCGCGGTCTCGGCGTTGTCGAGCAGCCTACTCTCAACCAGCATCACCAGTACCGCCCAATTTTTTAAGCCATATTATTTCTAATATATTTCGTATCTACAGTTTTAATTAACACTTTAATGATGGAATTTGTTCCAGAGTTCTACTGATCCATTGACGAGGGAAAGGGGATTATGCATAGAAAGTATGTAAATAAGAGTAATCTTTCATCAATCTTCCGAGTCATTAGCTATCACCATTGACCTTGAACGTTAAGACTGAAACATTAGGAACACAGTTTTACAGCACTTTACTTTATAACTTTTTGATAAACTAATTACATGCCTGCCTCGTTGCCCGAGTGGTCGCAAGTGCGACTGCCGGGTCGGGCAAAGTATTATTGGGTTTTTAAAAAAAATCTCAGTCGTAGCACGGAGTCTGGAACTGTGCCCAGTATATGGCAATAGGCTCACCCCCTGTTACATGGGACTCATAAAATAAATAGTGAAAAGTGGGTGTTACATTGTACAGTGGTAGGTATAATGTGCACCTGTTATTGGGGTGTTTCGAAAATTGACAGTAATGGCACGGAGTTTAGAATTGTGTCGTAATAAAACTAATAAAGAATGCAGTGATTGCCTGCCGACAAAAGTACCTACCGCTTTAAGCATTTAATAAATTTTAATGTCATTAGACTTCGGTGAGCTATGCCAGCATTAAACGATTTTCTCTTGTTGTTGTTTCTAAAGTAAAATTAAAAAGCTTTACTCATCTATCTGTGATACTTAAAAACAAAACTGTTACGCGTATGTATGGTGAATATAGTAATATCTAAAAAGGGATAGGCAGAACACAAAACTTCTTACACCATTTTTTCTTAATTTTGATCATTTCTTACTTCAATGGTCTTTTTTGATAAAACTCGTGGTATAATCTACTTCAAATTCATCATTCATTTATTTTCAAGTTGTGGGTTCGTTACAAACTAAAATATTACACCAGAACAACAATTTGTGGATCAAACAGACTTCTTGCATACAAGAATCGACTTTGCACAGTCAGTCATTAAAGACATTTTGCTAATTTTTTTTACAGACTGTTGTAAGACCCGTCCGTTTGTCGTGGCGCTGCAGGATTGTACCAAAAGAGTGACTAAGAAAGCTGCTTACACCGCTGAAACTTGCCACGTTGAAATTTTAGAACTCATGGAAGCCCTCGACAAATGTACAAAGAATAAGGCCTTTTTAGAATTGCAATAGAACCCTCCATTTGACTGATTATTTGGAATAGTTTTAGAACCTTGGTTTATAGTTCTGCTAGTGACTTTTTCTAGATATTTATAAATAAAATATATGCGCTATATTTGAGGTTGTTTGAATTTTATCATCATTACATTAATAATTGTGAATTAATTAAGATACATTTTGGTTCCTGCTATTTTTTTATGGGACAAGCCCGCCACAACCTCCCAATACCGCTGCAACTCCTGTAAGCCAGGATCTAGTAGATACAACCACTGAAGTCCGGCGCGTCACAGGGACATTAATAACTGTCTTGATTTCCGCAACGAAATAATAAATCAGAAGAGGAGAAGCAAAAACTTTGGTTCCTGCTAAGCTATTCTGGAAATTTTGATTCCAACTTTCGAAGTGAGCTCGATCACATTCTCGCACGTCATTGGTCGAGATTACTCTTACAACCAATGACGTGGGGGCACCACGGCCGGCTTCACTTCGATCTTTGGGATTGTACATAAAACTGCGATGTGACGGCGCATCGCAAAAATGTGCGAGCTCCCTCTACGCATCGCAAGAACTTGTGAATTGATTCGCATCGCGCATCAAAATTTTATCATCCCAAAATCTTCTTTATTTATTTTTCCTGTATCTCCTAAGAAATAACAAAAGTGTCACACTTCTTCTTACGATCCATATCACGATCTAGTTTTCAATTTCAAATACGTTTCGGTCGTCACCATGTCGTCACCCTGGGAGACGCCTTGTCGCACGAAATCGCATCGCAGCAATTCGTGTCGTAATTTTCTGCGTTGCGAATTTACATCGCATCGCATCGCAGTTTTGTGTACGAGCCCTAAGTAATTAAAGGTTACAAAATAGCTCAGTAGACTCACGAAGTCTTGACACGGTCTCAATTGGGACAAATTCCAAAAAACATTTTTTTCTGTAACGACCTATGGGAGATTTGAGAATGTAAAAAATAAGGTGGAATATTAACCACTGTCCCATAGGTACACAGATTGCACACAGAAATATATGTAAAAACATCATATCAATCGTTCCACAACAAAAAATAAGTATTATGACTGTCATTTACTTGTCACTTGATATTGTACCTACCTACATTTTTCGTACCCGTCGTCTCTCCATCGTTTTAATATGACAGATACAAGGTAAACAGTTTCTAAGAACCCGAGGAATATTAAATTGAAATACAGAGCTCTATTACGTTGTACAAACATAAGAAAATTCATAATATTCATATTACACATTTCGAGGAGGTTATTGAACTGTTTTCGAGAATTGCCTTGACAAGGCATAGGTGCACATATTAAATGGTTGTTAAATATCTTATACTTACTTACTTAATTTATAAAGCGGAAGAGTTTGTTTGTTTGATTGAACGCGCTAATCTCAGTAACTACAAGTCTGATTTGAATAATTATTTTTGTGTTGGATAGTGCATTTATTGAGGATGGCTATAGGCTATAAAACATCACGCTACGGCCAATAGGAGCTGAGCAGAGGGTGTGAAACCGCGCGGAAGTAGCTAGTATAATATATAGGTACTTAATACGTTTTTTTTACTTTCGAACTGTAAAGGAGCAGCTGAGGCCTTAGTACGAGTTTCTTTAACGTTTAGAGTACGAGTACGAGTACCACGTTCGGTGCTCTAATTGGTTGGTTCATTGGAGCCGGCCAATCAGAGTTGCGAACGCATACTCGTACGAATCTGCGATATTGCTATACTAATACAGTTTTTTCTATATTTACTTTATTTACTTTAGTCAACCAACGAGGCACACGATTTTCAGCTTGGACTTCAGTGATACCAGAGGCCTTAGTACGAGTTTGTTTTACGTTTAAAGTAATCGAAACGAGTACGCGTTCGTTCATTGGAGGCGTTCGTTCATTGGTTAGTTCATTGGAGGCGGCCAATCAGAGCGCCGAACGAGGTCTCGTTTAGAATACTTTAAACGTAAGACAAACTTTTGACTGCACGGTTGGTGCGGTGGCTGGGCAACCGGCTGCCGTGCAACGTTTCGCGAGTTCGATTCCCGCACGGAACAACACTTTGTGTGATCCACAAATTGTTGTTTCGGGTCTGGGTGTCATGTGTATGTGAACTTGTATGTTTGTAAATGCACCCACGACACAGAAGAAAATCCTAATGTGGGGCAACGTTTTAAAAAAGACTTGTACTAATATAAATACTAATTAATGTTGTCATTCCAACACGATCGCATTGTCATTTTGTTTTTGGTATATTTTTACGCTAATTATTGATTTGTGATTAACAATTCAGGTACCTAACATGTTTACGAATTTAAGTTATAACTTTAACCACATTTAACAATTATAAATTGAAACAAACAAAATCATTAATCAGATACTTTAAATAAACAAACATTTAAATTAATACTTTATCAATAGTTTTACTTAATACGGAATAAAGTAAATATTTATTTAAACCTAACCGGTTTTCTAATGTCTATTAAACTTAACATGGCCGATCTATTTTAATGTTTTATCAATGGTGACATAATTATTTATGCTCACAATTTTATTATTGTCCTGGTTAACAATTGTATGAATCTGTATTACTTTCGCAATAGATCTAGTTATTATTTTTATGACAATGAGTCAATGACACATCGCTATAAGGGTATGAGGTGATTCTTTTAAAATTATTATTTCTGAAGTGGATAAATATGAGTGCCTCGTTGGCCGAGTGATCGTAAGTGAGACTGCCGGGCAAGTGGTCTCGGGTTCGATTCGTCAGGCAAAGTATTGCTGGTTTTATAAAAATTCTCGGTGTTAGCACGGAGTCTGGAATTGTAACCGGTATATGGCAATAGGCTCACCCCTATTACATGGGACTCGTAAAATAAATAGTGAAAAGTCGGTGTTACATTGTACAGTGGCATTAAGTGCCGTAATGTGCACCTCTGCCTACCCTTTCGGGGATAAAAGGCGTTATGTTATGTTATGTTATGAAAAATATTGAAGAACAATCTCGGACTCCCTGCTGCCTTTTTTTTAAAAAAATTAAGAATATCAATATACTTATTTCCTGAACAGTGAATTGAGCTCGGAAGCCCTTGCCATAAAAATAAAAAAAAACTAAAAAGACACCATGAAAACTAACAAAAACGACTGAGAACACCAATCAACAACCTTATTAGTTATAACATAACATAACATAACATCACGCCTTTTATCCCCGAAGGGGTAGGCAGAGGTGCACACAGAAGTAACACCCACTTTTCACTATTTATGTTATGAGTCTTTCCTTATTAGTTATGTAAAATAAAATGCGATACCTCGTTACACACATAAACACAAACAAACAAACACATTAATTTGTGTTTTTTTCGTCTTGTCAGTGAGGTTACTGGAATCCCAATTACCCTCCCTAATCTCCCCAATCCCTGAATCCCCAAAAATCCTCAAATTCCTAATACCAAAAAGGCCGGAAACGCACTTGTAACACCTCTGCTGTTCCAGGTGTCCATGGGCGACGACGATTGCTTACCTACCTTCAGGTGATCTGTTTGCTCGTTTACCGGCTTATCCAATAAGAAAAAAATATTTATTAACTTCTGATAGGTAGATACCTACACCTTGTATCTACACCTACAAACAAACAAACTGACATAACCAGTTTAGTATGGCGGAAGTATAAGTACTACGGAAGCTAGCATCGCTTGATCGGTCGCTTACTTTACAAGGAAAAGAAAATGGATGTGAAGATTACGAACGGAAATCTTTGTGTAAACAGGATTCAAGTATTTATGTTGGTAAAATGGTCGTAAAAATTGTCTAGTAAATATCTAATACTTGCTTCTATTTAAATGTTTTGTCGAGCGCCCATTTGCAGATTCCGCGGTGTTACTGAAATTTTTTTTAAACTAAGAAATAAACCATAGGTACGAACTTTGCCAGACCAAAAAAACTAATATTGTTATAAAAAGATTAATAGAACTCGAGATTCCTTACTCAGCAGTTGCGTTTGTGACCACTGAACCAATAAAGTAATTAATAACCAATCAAGATCATTAATAACTATTTATAATTCAACATCTCTGCACCCAAGATCTACTAAATTAATTATTATGTTTTTCGGCTTACTCCGTTATTATTTGACGAGGACCTCGACTAATTTCAAGCCGTACTAGAGGTTCATGTTCATGAACAGCATTCCGCGACACAGGACGCCGCGACTGTAAGTAATAACTTGAGTAAGCCGAAAAACAATATTTAACTTAAAACCTACTTTACAACTAATACCATAAATCGAACTCAATCCAAATATTACAAATACATTGAGATTGATTATTAAATTCGACTGTAAAACAATTTTACCTCTATAAACACAACACAATGTCACTTTAAAAACAAATTGAAATAGACTAGCCACTTACTTAACTAAAGAGCTTCATAATAAGACTAAAGACCCACTTACCACGTTGATAAATTATTGGAAGGCTTCTGCCTACCCACTGCTAAAGTAACTCAACTAAAAGGTTGGTTGTTTATCCGGAAAAGCAATTAACAATGAAGTTTAAGGAAAATCCCGCGGTTTTAAACCACATCGTTTTAGATTCTGAATAGGTAAAGATTCCTCGAATTTTGCTGTTGAATTTAATTCTAACGTTTTTGTTATGAAAACATAATATTTTGTTATATAATTATGATTGTGTGATGTGTTTTTTTTATGGGACAAGCCCGCCACAACCTCCCGAAACCGCTGCAACTCCTGTAAGCCAGAATCTACAGTAGATATAACCATGAAAACACCGGAACACTGAAGTCCGGCGCGTCCCAGGGACATGAATAACTGTCTTGGTTCCCGCAACGAAGTGAATCAGAAGATATTATAAGAGACGAAGAAAAAAAAACGAGTGTGTGACAGCTACTATAGACTTTCGACGCAGAACATAAACAAATTGACACGAAGGACATCTGTCATTTTCTAAAGTCTAGTAATGTGGTAACCCATTATTTTACAATGATGAACATTAACTGGAGATTATCTAATGAAGATCCAGAGGAGGTCCATACACCAGCAGTGGACTATCGCAACCCGCCAAGTGTGAGAGAGCTATGCTTCGG